ATTGATGAAAAAAACCTGTTTACTTCCGTCTTTCTCTCTTTTCTCTTTTCTGTCTCATCTCTGACTGCCGATTTTTATAAAAAAAAAAAAAAAAATGTCGCGGAGAGGGACAACGGGACAGTCCTCTCACTCGTTCATAGTTATAATCTTGTTTGTTTACGTCACACTTTCAACCAATAAATTTATTTAAGATTGTATTGATTCCATCGAGACTCGCATTCTTTTCATAGGTCATCTTTCCAGTTTCCAACAGCACATTAATTGACGGAAAATTAAAGGATCATTTAATTTTCGATACATATAAATGAATGAATGTCTTGATGTTGAATATGTATATGATTCATGCATGTTTAAACAGTAGTATTATCTCTTTGTTATCTTATCTCATCACTATACACACATACATGTGAATATGTACTGAACATACATGTAAAGTGCAAGTTCGATTGTTTATCTGAATGCATATTTTTCATTTAAAGATCAGTAAAATAAGACAAAAATCGTACAGCAAATTGTAAAAGATAGATTTTAATCTTTAAATTTATGGTAGATTCTGTCGTGAAATTTTCTGAAAGCACCAGTTTCCTAAAATATAAAATTGTAAAAATATAAAATTTCGGGTATTTATTAGTTTTTGTGATAAAAAAAACTTTCGGTACAATACATTGAATTCTGTTATTTATTTTCGTTGTAACACTTGTCAAGTAGTTCAGAGATTAACTACTGGTCCGTGAGCCCTTGCCCCTACTTCCCACCGACGAGGTATCCTCGTCTGTGGCCCCTACTTTCTTCATTGCTAGCCGCTCCATTCGATTTCTCGACTTGGTTGGGAACTCAACAAACTGACAATAAGAGAGGCTCGTGCACGGTGAGAAAATTTCAATGTAGTGGAAGACATTGATGTGTGAAGAGATCGATGCAATAGAGGGGCTAGCGCTAGCGGGCCGGTAGTTACACATCTCTGAAGTAGTAGATGACGTAAACATGCTTTTTTTCGTAATAGCCCTCGATATAGCAAATATAGTATCTATAAAGTAAATCCAGCTACAATCAATATGATTATAAATTTCTAAGCACTTTTTTGAAAATTTCTTTTCCGTTATTCGATAAAAAGGTAGGAGTTGACTTTACCTTGACCATCGGAAGATCGCCGCTGATATTATTCACAATGTTGATTAATTTATAACCAATTTTATCTAAGGTTCCTTAAATACTGAGGTCAATGTCAATATCAGTTATCCAAGATTGACGATGACTGCTATAGAGAGAATCGTTGTATTAATAATGTCTGTATAGATAGTTATATAAACCTATAGAAAGATTTTTTTTCTTAAATCTTAGAAATGATAATAAATAATAATAAATATCTGAAGGTAAAATTTTACATTTGATATCCTTCCTCTCTACTCTCTCAAATTTCTTGTCGATTAGGCACAATATCTAAAATTTTGCACTGTCCGTAAAAACATGTGAATTTGTAAAATTTTCGAAAAGAAGCATGTTTACTTTTCCTTCACGTTTTAAAATGTCCATGATTCTTTATTTTTGAATGTACATTTGCATATGTATGCGTATAAATAATATAAAATATTATTTTTTGTAATATTTAATATAAAACATCTATTCTTTATCGTAATCATTTGTTTGTATGACAGTATAATGTTAAATAGTTCATAATTTTATAATCATTGATAAGATTGTTAAATAGCAAATATAATGAAAACGATTTAAATTATGCTACTTTATTTGGTTTACAATTAGTTCCATTTGCATCTTCAAATTTTATTTGGTTTAAATTAAGAATTTTTTTCTTTTTCGTCATACGGTGTCTTCACGAAATATGTTATCAAAGTTCCCTTTCCTTTAACATAAATAGGACCTCGACATGTCAATTCGTAACCAGCAGCAATTAAAATTTTGGCTGTATTTTCAGTAACTTGAAGTTTTCCCATTTCTCCACAACTATCCATTCTTGATGCTACATTTACAGTATTACCCCAAATGTCGTATTGAGGTTTCTGTGCTCCGACAACACCTGCTATCACAGGTCCATGATTTAAACCTAACCGAAAGAAATTTTTCTTTTATATAAATTATTATAAATAGTGAGGTATTAACTTTGATCACCTTGAATATTTTCCTTGTTTTTGGAAATACGAAAAAAGTTTGATCAAGGAAAGTTTTATGGTTTGAAAGGAACTATAATATAGCAGCAATAATTCAGGGTTCAAGGTAGGTGACCTTGAACCCTTTACTTTTTCAAGTTCTTTGTTGGACAACTTAATAGTAGTATTGTAGATGTTTAGATCATCATTTCAAGATCATTTGACTATAAATAAAAAAGCAAGCAATATATTCTAAGTTAAGATAAATACGTACAAAGTTTGTATCAATGTAATATTAATAAATTGTAATAATATAAATTGTTGAATAGCTGAAGCCTATGCACTTGTTATCATTTTAGAGTTAATCGTAGCACATACTGCTACGAGTCTTTGTGACATAGCTGGTATCTTTTAGTTGCCACACAATATTTTTTAATATTGCTCGAAAAAAATCGAGTGATATTAAATCAAGAATAAGTTGGTCTTGACGACTGGTCGACAATGTGTAACGACTGTAATATACCAGACTCGGCTGAACTAATCTGAGGACTAAACTTGAACATTCCGATCATATCGATTTGATTGACATCATGACATACTTTTTCGCGATTAAGAAACTTGTGTCTTAAGATTTTCTTCTATTTTTTTTTACATACACTTTGAGACATGCAGCATGATTAGAATAGCATTCAGTATATATTGTTTATGGTCCTAAATTTTGTCGAGTCAAATGTAAAAAATATATTTATTTTCTTACTGAATGGAAACTTTATTTTCACAAACTTTATTTAACTTATCACCAAAAAATGTATACGTAATTGAATGAATTTTTCACAAGTTACTGTTTTATTCATAAAATTTTTATTCATAAATTATCAATGAATTTTCATAATAATTTCTCAATTTGTACGTAGTTCAATAAATTATTCGACGTTTGAAAGATCTGCTAATACTAATGAAAAAAAATTTCTTAGAATTATCGTCATGATTTATATTCCTTACTATCTTTTGTTTGGTATGCATACCCTCATAACAATTAATATTACAGGGAGAATATTACATAATTTGAAATAAAGATTCATAGTAGCATCTGCCCTGAAATGTAACAACTGCACGGCCTTTGACATTTTGGACAACTTCAATGTCGTATAGATACAAATGGGCACTACTTTGCATATTCATCATAATTCTTATTTCATCAATATTTTTATTTATGATCAAACGACTTTGAATTAATCGTGATTTGTTGAACTTGCCTTCTAGATATCTTCTAAATATCTCAATACCAGGAACAAGAATGAATTCATCAAGCAATTTGAAAAAGTGACAGTGACCTTAAAATGATTTTGAATTTCTTCAATTACTACAATGTATTAATAAAAAATTGCTGCCTACTTTCTACTTCAGTAAAATTTTTTCATATCTTCAAAAATAATGCAGATATAAGACAATTAAAGTTAGCGCTCTTTACATAAATAAAAATACTTTTTTCTCTCCTTTTTTTCTTTCTTTATATATAAACTTCTTGAAAGATATATATATATATTTTTTGTAAAAATATATTAACGAAATATAACAATAGAATATAATGTCTGTGTATTTGTTAATATCGCTCTTTTTTATAAAATTTTCTTATTTATTGCACAAGAAATTGTTCATAAAATCATTCCTTTCATGTATACTAATAGATTAACATTACATATATACAATACAGCTTCGTATATAAGATTTTAAGGAAACTTACCTATTCTTAATTTAAACTGTTGAAAAGATTCTTTGTTGATTTGATCTAAAATTGTCATCAAAGCAAGAGCAAATTCAACAAGAATAATTATGTTATAATCTTGTTGTTTTGAAAGTTCCTGCAAATTAATTTAAAGATTTGGTAAACCTGTCAAATGATCATAATATGTAATTTAATATAATACAATAATTATAATATTTAATGTACATACAATTTTCTATAATAAAATAAAATATAGAAAAAAAACTTAAATGTATATGTGTTACCACACGTAATTTTATGTATTATTCGAAAACTAACAATAAGATAAAACACCTGTTATATACATGTACAATTTGAAACGATATATATGTTGTCAAGTTGATACATATTTCACATGTTGAAACCGATGAAACTTGAGAATGTAATTATTCAATAAACTGACCAAAAGTTTGATTGGAATTTCTAAAAATGTTACTAACATAATAATATTGATAGGACGTAAGTGTCTAATAAGTAAGCATATGTTATATGATCGTGCGTTTTTACCTCTTCATTAGTATCTTTTTTTCCTGGATTAAGACCAGAAGCTAACATATAAGTACTACCGATAGTTTTAATTTTTTCGATTCCAGAAAACTTCGGTTTGAGCAACAATTTGTCAAAATCACATATAATTTCATTTAGAAGCCTCAAACATTCCAATCCCTGTTTATTTATATCAGTTTCATCATAGAACTCTTTATAATTTGGAATAGATGCAAACATTACGGCAATACTGCTGTATCTTTCGTGATAAAGATCCTATGGAAGAAATTAAAAATGTGAACTCTTTTTACACAATTTTTTTTCATTTATTCTTATTTATTTCGTATCGTTAAATATTCACCTGAGTTGCTCTGACGTTCGTTAAGAAATGTTCTGCTACGTGAGCAGGCAGTATGTTTTCGAGGAGAATTTTATTAATACCTCTCATAGTTTCAACCTCATCCTGTTCTATTTTTAATTTATTTTGCCATAGAAAATCAGTTCTCGAAGTATATTCAATTTGTCTATCCAAAATGTGGAGCATGAGGCAAACAAGTGCAAGCAAATAACAAATTTGGAGTAAATAATGAACGCGATAATGTCTGCAAAATAATGTCTTCACATTATTCTGACACTTGTAATATTTATATAAATATAAGACACAAATATAGACACATATATAGGATGTTCGACGCAGTTATCTACTTACTTAAACTATTCGTCATAAAAAAAAAAATATTTCAAGTAAAATTTACTTTCTTTCGAGGGAGAAATGGTGGTCACAAATCTTGGTGTAGGTGAATGTGCTTTCGAGAATATTTCAAGGTGACCTTTGTTTTTTGTTTTTTTTTTTTAATGAAACTATATACATAGTTTTCTTCAAATGAACATGTAGCCCGTTCCATGACGAATTCACTGACCTATCATATGTAACTATCGCCTAGAGATATGACGTATGAGCCTTACTACTCGTCAACATACAAGTCTCGATTCGTATCACAGTGGGGCTTGCGCGGTGAGGCGTGTAATGTGTGTCGTTTATAAGAGAAAAAAAATTAAGTATAGAGGGATTTTCCTATTTTCCCACGGTTCTCGAAGAGGAGCACGAACCGCCAGTTGAATAGGCCTAATCTATACCATGATTGGTGTCTACCAAAACATTTCTCTCTCGAAACAAAGTAAGTTTTACTTGAAACATTTTTTTCTTCTGTAATAAAGAAAATGTTTAG